TATTCTCCATGCATCACTTCAATAAGACCTAAAGCTACATGTTCTAGACTGGGGAGCCTCAAGAGAGTCTTCAGCAATGGCTGCCCTGGTTCTGAGGCTAGTCCTATCTTGACTTCATTCATTCAACCAACACCTACTTATATTTACTGATTTAGGAACTGTTTCCCCTTGGGGGAGTTGAGAGGGCAGGGTTTATAGCTCAGGTTAGCAGCAAAGGATGACCTAGAAATTCTTTTGTGTAAGTGTGCATGTGTACATCTGTATTTATGTTGGTGAACCTATGTAGGAAAAAAAACATGTGTATCAACTGTATGCATGCTTATTTGGAATCTAAAGATCAACCTTGATTATTGTCCCTCAGAAGCTGTCACTATGCTTTCTAAGTCATGGTCTCTCACTGGGACCTGGGGCTATTATCTAGATTAGACCAAAGAGTCAATGAACCATAAGAATCCACCTGGCTTTGCACCAGATGTTGGGAAAACGTGTATGTAATACTACATCCAGCATTTCTGTGGGTGCTGAGGATCAAGCTCAAGTCCTCACGCTCACACACAGCATGCGCTCTACCCACTGAACTAGGTTGCTAGCCCCAGTTGACCCAGAAAGTTTGAGTTCTGTGAGCCAAGGATGAACTTTGTGAGCCATCTCTCTAAACCAGTGCCCATTCTATAGTGAAAGCATATAGCCTTATATTCCAATGTGTTTATATTTCTCTTCCTTACTGTGGACAATCTCTACCTTCTTAGGGGATCAAAATGCTATATCCCCTGCCAAATGTGTTTCCATGTCATGTGAGCATGATTAACTGAACTGGGATGCCGTGACACATTATGGTTGTAGAGGTTAGCCGTTCTGGCATCTTGAGAGCTTCAGTGTAGTCCAGAGAGCCATCAGCATTTAAAGATTGCTTCCTCATTCCTATACTTAGAATTTGGTCACACGAAAGAATTCAGTTGTACACATCTGTGACTGGAATCCTCATTCTCCTTTTGTCTAAATTTGCCATTCAATAATAATCCATATTTGAGGCTTTAGCTTGAATGCCTTGAGTAGATATTTCTATTAGAATGTTCTTTTGACATGTATGGATTCTGGGAAACTTATCTAAGAAACTAAAGATAAGAAGATCCAATACTAGGAGGTTCTGAGTGGCCTGAAGCATGACTATTGTGATTCACACTCTCTCCTTTGAGAACCCAATGAGAATCTGGTCCCAGGCTGACATAGACCATATGACATTCATGACTTGGTCAACACAGCAAGAAGTTCACACTCCTCAATGCCTTGACAGCTCTTTCAAACTGTACATAGAGGTCTGGGTCCAAAGTGCTTGCTAGTGAACCCACAATCAGAGGGAGCAAGACAGCGTGCATAAGTACAGGAAGTTACTTTGTTGTTAGTGGCATGACCTGGGTTTCAGTTGTAGGTGAGATGAATACGTTCATACTTATATAACCCAGAACAGATTGGGTGATACAAATCTAGAGATTTGCATCTGGCAAGATAAAATTATGGGCAGGCATTTCTTTTGAGGAATCAATTTTGTTTGGTGAAGAAGAAATAAGTATAAAACTTCAGAATAATGTTGGTATATAAAACAATGTATCTTTTAAATATTGTATACCAATGCACAGATACATGGCTACGTACACATAGATAGATGATAGACAGGTAGAGCTTCATTTTTCTAGGACCAAGAAAACTGTAATGGCTTGAAATATAAATACATATATATATATACACACACATAAATACATACATATATTTATATACACACATACATGCATATATTTGTGTATACATACATGCATACATACATACATACATACATACGTGTATATATATCCTGGATACTATTATGTCAACTTGACACAAGCTAGAGTCATCTGAAAAAAGGAAACTTAACTGAAAAAATGATTCCATAAGTTCTAGTTGGAGGACATTTTCTTAATTTATGATTAACAGGGAGGCCCAGACCACTGTGGTGATGCTATACTTAGGTTGGTAGTCTTAGGTTCTATAAGAAAGCAGACAGAGTAAGCCATGAGGAGCAAGCCAGTAAGCAGCACCCTCCATGGCCTCTGTACCAGGTTCCAGCCTGCTTGAGTTAATGGCCTGACTTCTCCCAATGAAGGATTATGATCTGGAAATGTAAGACAAATAACCTCTTTTCTTCCCAAATTGCTTTGGTCATGGTGTTTCATTACATCTATAATAACCCTAACTAAGAATATGTCAAGGTGATCAAGCCTGGGGTCAGCCTAAGATACCCAGAAATCCTGGACTACACAGAGAAACTTTGTCTCAAAACGGAAAGAAAGAAAGGAAGAGGGAAGAGGAGGAAGGAGAAAACAATGCCTTCATAAGTTTACCTTCTTCCTTTTTTGTTTGTTTGTTTGATTGTTTGTTCTCTTGGTTTTTCGAGACAGGATTTCTTTGTGTAGCCTTGGCTCTCCTGGGACTCACTCTGTAGACCAGGTTGGCTGGCCCAGAGCTCACAGAGATCTGCCTGCCTCTGCCTCTCAGTGTGCTGGGAATAAAGAAAGGCATGCACCACTACAGCCCGGCTAAGCTGATCTTATTTCAAAACACCATAAATATGAAAAGCCAGTGTGTTCCTGGGTGAGTCCTAACTGCTTCCCATCCTGCTTAGGTAATGCTCACAAATCCCAAGAGGAAGAGAGCCTTGGGCTTAGCTTTCAAAGTTACAGATCCGGTAATGTTTGGAGTTCCAGAGACAAACTTGAAACAGCCAACAAGGCTTGGGGATTCAGATTCAGATGCCAGGCATTTTTGGAACAGTCGCCTGGTCTGCTATCCAAGGTTCTGAACTAAGTTCTGTAGTTACTGAATGTCCTAGCTTCATTTTTGTTGCTGTGATGAAATAAATAAATAAATAGGTTCTAATAAAAAGCAGCTTAGGGGGAACAGGTTTATTTTAGTTCATAATTCCAGACCACAGTCCTTTTGCATGGGAATTCAAGGTGGTGGGGACTGGAAGCAAGAAGGAGTTAGCTGTACCACATCCATGGTCAAACAGGGAAACCGGGTATGTGTATGTTTATTTTGCTTGGGCTTGGCTCCATTTCTCCACTCTCACACCATTCAGGACCCCCCGTCTAGAGAATGGTGCCACTCACAGTGGACTGTGTTTTTTTGTGTCTTCTTTATTAATCAAGATAATCCCTCATAGATACAGTCATAGGCCAACTCAATGTGAACACTCTATCATTGATTGGACTCTTACCGGAGGACTCTAGACTGTGTCAAGTCAGGAGATCTATCCTGTGCTGAGTTGATCTCTTGCCCTTTGGTCTTCTAGATGTGTCAAACTCAGCATTTTCACTAAAGAGCCGCCTTGTCTGAAATGGAGCGAGATACCACATGCTTAGTGTTCTGAATGCTTGCAGTGCCAGGTCTATCAAGAGAAGTCTGTTTCCTCACTTGGGTCCTTGGATGATTAGTCATAAGATACAACCTCTCTGTGTCCTGAGAGGTTAAAATATCCTGACAGTAAGTAAATATTTCTTTCAAAAATAAAATTGACCGCCCAAGGGACAAAAAAATTTCTGTCCGTGAATACCTTCTAAGCTGGATAAATTAATTTCCACAGGTTCATTTCAGCACACCTGGATTTTCAGACCCAAGTTTCACCTCAGCAGAAAGCTTCTATTGGCCAATGGCGTATATTGAATTTGGCTTTCTGAGAGGCCCATTCTTTGTTCCCAGGAACTCAAGACACAGTGAATATGCATTTCCGAGTACTGTGCAGAGGCCTATATCTAGCAGAAAATAAGTTAAATGCAGTAACAGTTCAGAAGAGAAATTAGCATTCTGTAGAGGTGTGTGTGGGGGGGGATGTAGTCATGGGAAGCTTCACGAAGATGGAAGAAAGATTTGGTCTTGATCATCAGGCAGATTTCAAACATACAGAAAGATGGCGTGCTTGATGTCATCACTGTGGGAGCACAGCGTCCTTGCACATTTGAGAGATGGGAAATACCTAATCCTGCTGAGAGATGAGAGCCCTCGCCATGGTGTATGTCGTTCTCTGCACCTATATTTACAAACAACAGCGCCAACCATGTACCCTTCCCCATGGTGGTCAGAGCACTTTTCTCAAGCAAAGGAAGACATGCCTTTTTCAAATATACTGTTATTTGGAAGAGTGTACTTCAATAGGCTCCCTCAGATACTTTGATATTTACTTTAAAGAGTACTTCAAGGCAGAAGGACACTACTGAGCCTTTTTATTTCTCAAATAAGACCACTGCCACCAATAGCAGCTGCAGGGTGGACAATGTGTCACACGTTGAAACAAAACCAGCTGTGAGGCAAACAAAGATAATTGAAAAGTGACCAGAAAACATAGGAGGAGAGGAAGAAGCTTCCAGAAAACATGAGGTTTGATGAGGAAACTGAACATTTGCCCAGAGAAAACACTTAAAGGGGTTTCTAAGAACCATTCACTTAAGAAATTCTGAGATTTTTTTTTTGAACCTAGAATCCTACACAGCATAATTTCAAAGGATAGACTTTGGTGGCATTTTACAGAACCCATGTTCAGGAACTGCTGCATCTCCAGATCTTTGGCAATGACAAGGAGACAACCGAAGAGGCACAGCAGGGAAAACAGTCTCTCTGGACTGGATGTGACCAAGGAATAGAGCTCTACCTTGGAGATTAGCTTCACAGTGCCTTCTATTTACTGGGTACGAGTCACCACATGGGACAGAAGAGCAGGGCTCTTTACTGGTTTTCACCTGGCCTCGGGCATGGATCAATGTGTCTAATGAATACAATTCAAGCAACCTCACCAACATTATTTAGCTGTGTTGGTCTTAACAGGCACCCATATACTTTTCCCACCCCCTTGGCTCTCAGAACATACTGAAGTACAGACAGACAAACAGACACATCCATGCATACATACTCATACACCCCGTTTCCCATTTAGTTCTTTCCAGCCTTTGCTCATTTATAATTTAGCCGTTCATCAGTTTACAGAAAAGTTCTCATCGTCATTCCTTTCATGCTCCAAGTCAACCTAAGCGTCATGCCTGTCTTTTCACAGGCTGCAGTGAGGTCCCTCTCAGAGACTCAGATGAACTGCGCACCCCTACAATAAGGTCTCTGGCTGCAGGAGTGCAAATGAGAAGTAACGCTCTGGGCAAGTGTCCGCGCTGATGCATTAAAAGAACCATTTTATTGCTTCTGTGGTCTGAAAAAAAATGAATATACACAGAGGAGGGATTTTCCCCCCACCAATTTTGCCAAATTCAGGAAATGCTACTGCATTTGAAAGAATGGAAGAACATTTATTGCTTTCTTAGCATCCTTCGGCCAGCAGCACTGCTGCATCTCAAGGTGCCAGGCTTCTTCTCTTCTTCTCCTTTAATATAATGACGGTCCTTGTCGATCGAAATGAATATTAGACCATGGATTCCAAAAGCAGGCCTTTGGGACACTGCATGCCATGCTTGAAGAAACTACGGTAGGAGTGGGGGAAGGGAAGCTGGCATGGTGCGATTTCCTCACGGCAGGCTAAGCAGGCTTCTATGTTGTACCACCCATTTTACCCTGTGCGTCATATAAAAGCATGACTTTAAATTATGTATGTACCAAACTTTAATTTTCATTTCACACTCGAAAGTTCTGTACAAAAAGAGGCAATGCAGGCAAAAAAAAAATTACAATGACTTCGGCAAACAACATATGACAACTTCAAAGCCCCTTCTAATCTGCAGTCATCTATACAGGGCACTGTGGCAATGGAGTTCTGAAGGCAGGGGCTGGCGGAGAGAAAATCCCAATGTTAGTTATTAATATCTAGAGCATTGGTGAGATGTCTACTATGTAAGATTGAATGAGAAGTCTGGACTTGACTATACAACTGGATCCCTGGATTGGGTAGGTTTCTTCTTGCTCTTGAAGAAGCATGAAATAATTTTGACTTAATTGTGATGATGTCTCGAAAAACTAAGGCTTGCCATTCATGTTTGATATAACTGTGATAACCAAGAATGTATGTTTATGTTGGTGAGAAATACATTAACTAAATATTAAGATACACTTAAGACCTTCTTCGTGGTCTTCAGCTAATATTCTGGCTATATTGCGGCTCTAATATTCTGGCTCTATTTATTACCAATAAAAATACCCATTTCCACCCAGCTTTTACTATGAATGTCTAGGTAAACATGAGAGGTGCTATCATGCCAAAAGTAGCAACATGTCTGGGAAACACCATTTTGACCTTCTTTCTTGCCTCAAATTAAATATAAAAGGCTTTATGAGACATCAATTATGAAGTATTATTAACATTGATATTGTCCCTAGTACTTTCCCCCAAACCACCCATGAGTGCTGGATACATATGCATGCAGCACAAAAAAAAAAAAAAGAAAGAAAGAAAAACCAAATTGTTCAAGGATTCCCGATGCCTAATGGACAGTCTGTTAAGAGAATTGGTCTCCCACAACAGTTCTGGAGTGGACTCAAGATCCACTCCCTGTTAGTGATCACAGACACACACTCAGCCTGTCCTCTTGGTGACCTGAGGCAACTACTCAGACCCTGGGCTTCTCAAAATTCAAGTCCCGCTGAGTCTCATCTTGGAGACAATGGACTGGCTAAAGTGAAGCAGACTGGCAGCACCTATACACACATTTGGTCCCATTGGATGGAAAGTCTAACTAAAAGTTACAAATATCCTCAACTGTGCGTGTGTGTGTGATCTGACAGATAATCTCTAATGTTTTCTTATGTAGCCAGCTGAGAGGCAGCTATGGTATAAATAACGTGGCTTAGGTTCATGGTTCAGGTCTGTGTCTAAGAGCCATAGAGAAAATGGGAAGTCCTTTCTTCTCTGACATCTCAGTCTCCTCTTTTGAGGAAAGGGCAAATGGACACAAGCTCACTCACAGTGTGCCTCACTGCCCTTGTAGGCTCGACGGTTGCCCAACTGAGCAATACTCATGACTGCCAAATGGAACACCCTAAAGTTGAGTGTTGGAGGGATGTCTCACCCCACATGATCACATTTCCTGGCCTCCTCTGGATCTTGGAATTCCTAGGTTTGAGAAGCTCATGGAAGCCATCTAGCGTGATTCTGCTCTGCTGAGAACACGCACATCAGTCAAGTGGCTGTATTTACTCTTCTGGTAAAGCACCAAAGGACAAGGTTCTTCCCTCTCCATTGACTACATTGATATACAGACCAGGGAAGCAGTTCTCCCCATGTGTTTGCATTTCTGTGTTGGGACAAACCAAGTATTCCCTTTCTTGGAGGGCTTGATGGAATGCTAGATGGCCACTTCCCTAGTCTGGATATGTAGGTATTTCACAGCTCTTCTCGTGGAATGTTGGGAACCAAACTGTACTATACCCTGATCGTCCTAGACCTGAATTCCAGGGTTATTACTCATCAGCTGTCTGGAAAACCCTCTCCTTCCAGGAGAGACATGCAAGCAATATCACAGGTTAGCCTCAAGATTTCTCTAGAAGGCTCCATACACTCCACAGTACATCTCCATAGGCCACATGGGAAAGAGGGAAGAGTAGAGAGTCAGGTAGGAAACATCTGGGGATCGAGTCCAAAGCAAGAGTCATCTTGTGTGCCCACATCCTTCCATTAGATGTCACAGTATGTTTCCCATATTCGCCCCTAACTCGGCTGTGACCTATAGCAGAATGCCTGCAGCACTGGTGAGATTGATAATTATAAGGGTATTCCTTGGAATTTGTGCATGAAGGAAGGTTGGTAGTGTGGCTCCCACTAGCCTTCCAGGACTCTTAGAAACTCGTTTAGATTTTTTAAAAGTTCATTTATTTTATATGTATAAATGTTTTTTTTCCTGCATGTATAGGAGCACACTATGTGTATGCATGGTACCCATGGAGATCGGAAGAGGGTACTGGATGCCCTGGAACTGGAATAATGGATAGCTATGAGTCACCATGTGGATGCTGGGAATCAAATTCAGATCCTCTGCAACAGCAACAAGTACTCTTAACCACTGAGCCGTCTCTCTGGCCCCCAAGACTGACTATTTTATACATGAGGAAGGTGAGCACACTAAAAGTGAATCTGTCAAAGTACACAGAGTGGCGGAGGCTGACACCAGGCAATCAGGAAACATAGATATCTTCTCTCTAAATCCCTCCTTCTCTGGGAAATAACAAAGTGCCTTAGTTCTCAGTTCTGACATGAACAGTCCATTTTCACAGAGAAATGGGATCTCCTTATCATGAGGGGTGGTGTACATAGAACTCAGCAGGCTCCTGGGGAATGAGTGGCCTTATTTACAATCAGAGTTCTATCTCTCTGTCCCCGCAGGCAGAAGGTTGACAGAAATATGATTATCCTTACGCCAGCTCCCTCTCTCAAATGCCCTTCAGATAGCCACTTCCCTCAGTCCTCCTGGAAGAACCCCTCTCTCGACCCATTGCCTCCTCATTAGTGGATTAAAACACAGGCGATTTTCCTCTGACAACAACTGAAAAGGAATGGAAGGAACGTGGATTGAGACAGGAGAATGTTTGGATTACTCACACACGTGCATACAGAAACGCTGCACGGGAGGTTTGCAGGCTGAAGGAAGAGGGGGCGTGCTGAACTCACAACAGTTGTACCCCACCCGCCACATGCATTTTTCTTATCTTTCATTCTTCTCTCTTGCTCTCTCTCCGTCAGGGCAACAGTTGTGTGTGCTTCTTGTATCTGAGCCGACACAGGAAATCAAGTACTTTGTGTTTCTATAAACTATACTCCCAGAGAGATAACACAACTAGAATTAAAACAATACCACAAACTATTAAGAATTTCTGCTCGTTACAGGTGTCACTGCAAGACTCCAGCAGCCAAGACTGAAGTTTCCAAATTCGGCCCTTGGAGACAGGATTTTCATGGCGAACATCAAAGGTAAGGCTCTCGAGTCAATTTATGCTCTGCTGGGTTGAGTCAGTCAGGATACAAATTAAGGTCCATATATTTCAGAGACAAGAAGGAAGTGGTTATGTAAATACACAAGTATTAACATCAATCTGTATTAAATTATGTAAACATATACATCTTCTGAGGTCAGCACACAGATCCTCCTCTGTAAGCAGGGCTCTACTGAAGCATCGCCCGAATCTGTTTGGAAGTCGATTCGTCATTCAAGTGCTTTGTAGTGAACCTGGGGAGAGAGAGTTGGATGTCAGGACTCACCCAACCGAAATTTGCAAATAAGAACCGTGGCTCACTTCTTTAGACAAAAAGCCACATTTTGATGTTCGTTCCATATATTCTCTGCAAGTTTTTTTTAAAAAATAATTTATTTAGCTTTTCTTTTATGTGCATCAGCATCAGATCCTCTGGAGCTGGAGTTACAGATAGTTGTGAACTGCCATGTGAATGCTGGGAATTGAACTCAAGTCCATCTGAAAGAACAACCAGTGCTCTTAACTGCTGAGCCATCTCTCCAGCCCTGGAAGTTTATTTTTGATTTGACATTGACTGGGTTTTGCTCAGTATTCCAGGTTGACATTGCACTCACTCTGTAATCCAGGTTGGCCTCAAACTCATGGCAATCCTCCTGTCTCAACCTTCCTACTGCTGAGATTATAGACTCATCCCACAACGCCACACTTGTCAGGCAGGTAGCTATGGTATTTGCTTTTTCTTGTGTGGCAAGTATCAAACTAAGTCTTTTGTTGTGGGAATTCATTCAGCCAATGCCTTTTGGGTACCAGCACACGTGGCCTGATAAGCTTCCTTAATTACATCTACAGTCTTTTTTTAACCTCATCAAATAATCACAAAGAGTAGACATAACTGATCTCATCTTCAAGGAGACAAATTTCACAGCACTTACTTCAACATCTTGTCCATTGAAGCTAACCCTGATGAACTTCAAATTAAGGACTCCTAAAATTTAAAAATTGATGACTATCTGATAGAGGGGCTGTGCTTATCCCCATTGCTGCCACCAGGGGGCACAAATGCAGGTACACTACTGAAGCTGTAATTTTAAGTGGCATCGGACTCGATCTAGTGTGCAAAGGATTGTAAAACTGGATCTTGTGTGCAAAGGATTGTAAAAAAAATGACCTATTACACAACTTTGACATGTTAGGCGCTCTGGGTCACAAAGAACTTTTCAAATGTGGTCAGTGACGTGATTTCACAGGTAAGAGAGCTGAGGGTCAAAGAGCTTCAGTGGCTCCCTCCATATCCCACAGCAGATGTTTTGACTCGTGAACAGTCTGTGACATTTGACTTGAGCCTAAGTCTGGCTGCCTTGAAAGCCTATAATCTTCCCACTTCAGCATGTGTCTCCAGGAAACACAAATTCATACCATGTCCTGATCTCCAACCTGTTTCGGTAGCTAGAATGAAACTGCCAAATTCCAGAGACTCAGAAGTTAAAGTCTTCTTAATGAATACAGAAAGCCAGCATGGTGTGCTTACAGTCTTGCTTGGAGTAAACCTCGGATTTGGGAGGCTCTTATGAGAATGATGTTAGGAAAAATCTTAAGGAGAGCCTCTCTGCTGACTCAAAATAACTCCAATTAGACCAAATCAAAAATGCCCACGTTTAATAAAGGCAGTGCTTTCCTGGGTGGCCCTGGCAGCATGGCGGGAAAGAGGAGGGGAGAGGAGCCCACACAAACCCTGGAGACAACATGTGTTCCTTTTTCTCATGCAGGAGCCTAAATAGCCTTTGGGAGTGGTCCTGCCCTCCCTGGGGAGGGGTCAGCATTTGGTGGACTTTCTGGGAGCTGGAGTCCAGCCCAAGGCAACTCCCGGGGGGAGGGGCTGGGGTAATGCTTTAAACCAAATATCCCAGGGGAGGGGGCTTGAGATGGAGCTTTTTGCCCCATTGGCACTCCATTAGCGCCCCAAGACAGGGACTGGGGTGACACTTCCAACTTAATATTACATTCCAGACTCTTTGGATATAGGGGTGTTAGAAGGCTGGGGTCTCACTTTCAATCAAACATCCTGGAGTCCTTGGATATAGGGTGTCACTTTTGAGCAAACATCTGATTCATATATCCTCTAAAGATGATGAGTTGGCAAGCCAGAAAACCAGTAACTTTAGTGTCCTGAGATTGCTGGCTTTATCCAGTGAAGGAGGATAATAGTTCAGGTTGGGGTCAATGGATTGCAATAGCTGCATTGGACATATGACTGGAGGTAGAGCATTGCATGTAGAACTGAGTGCTGCCCCATTTCTCTTAGACTTACCCATGCTGACTGCATGGATTGCATTGCATGGGACAGAAGGAAATGAAAGGCTAAGACAGCAAGGTCCATGAGTCTTCCAGATTAAAATTCTGCATGGGGATGGTTTGTGCAGTTCAGCAAGTTTCTTTGGATGCAGCACGGCTAAAAATAACAACCTCTTTCTTAAAGTGGACTAAACAAATGCATCCTTGGGAAAAAGAGAGGTGCCTAAGGAGTGGGAATATAGCTGGCTAAATATTCAGGCACCCAGCAGTGAATAACAGATCCTCAGTTCTGGCAGCTGAAGGTAGAAGCCACTTGGGGAGTTCAAACCAAGCAAACAGAAACAAACAACAAGCTAACACAAGAGGGATGTTTGAGTTTCAAGGCCAACGACTAATTTACTTGGCTTGCAAACTCAGTTCCTGGAAACTCCCTTCATCTTCCTCCGATGCAGTCAGGGTCAGGAGCCCTTGGTTAAGATGGACATAAGAAGCGAGAAGGATTCCCCACTATACATAGAGCATCATGGTCAAGAGTCAGGTGTAAGACTCGCGGGACCACCAAGACCCAGATATAGGTCCTAACTTGGCCCTTTACTGTGTGGAATGGAAACATCATTTGAGCACATGAAGCCAGGTACAGGTATGCTGCATGCCTTTAATCCTGGCATTCAGTAGGCAGAGACAGGTGGATCCCTGAGTTCAAGCCAGCCAGGACTACAAAGTAAGTTCCAGCACAGCTAGGACGGTACAGATAAACCTTGTCTCAAAACCCCAAAACTTAACTCACCTCAAATTCCCCCATCTTAAGAAGTGAATGATAAAACCTGTGCTGCCCTCCCAGCACTGTTAGGAAGGTGAATCACGTGACAACCAGTCAAGGGTAAGTCTGGTGTCCAGGCTTCTGGCCCCCAACAGCATCTGCATTTGCATCGGTCTGAAAGGGAAGCTGTACCGCCTGCCCAGAGACTGGCTCACCTGAGAGCATTCAGCAGCCCTTCCACACTGTCCGGGGCCTGCTCCTTCAGCACTTTTATGCAGCCTTTCATCTGGAAGAAGAATGCACAGCATTCCGTTAGTACTCTAGTAAGCCTGTACAGAGTGCTATCTGTCCATACTAACAACTCTATGTAGCCACAGAACATGGAAATCACAAGTAAGCTTCCCTATCCTCTCAAGATGGTGCATTGTGCCTCTGGGTTTCTCCAGAGTTCCGTACGACGAAATGATTGCAGTCTCTACTGGTTTTCGTTCTAGTCCACATCTGTCTGTTTGACTTTGGGAATAAACGTCTTGCTTTGTACTCTGGAGCCCAGAGCAGGAACAGAAATCACTCTCCTTGGCTCTTGGTTGAGATTCATTAAGTGTTTTACACACTCAATAATTGAATGTTTTGTCTGCTAAGAATGCTTCTTCTCTGTCAGCTACTGATTGACACACCCATAATAATTTGTAAAGTCTCAAGTTCACTGGCCTCCAGGAAATGTGTGTGTGTGTGTGTGTGTGTGTACACATGTTGGTATATGTGTGTTGCATGCATATGGAGGCCAGAGGACAAATTCAGCTGTCATTCCTAAGGTACTATCCACCTAATGTTTAGACAGGGTCTCTTTTGCCTGGAGCTTGCTAAGTAGGCTAGGCTAACTGACAAGAAAGCCCCAGAGATGTGCCCATCTCCACTCCCCCATGACTGGGAATGTAAGCACATCAACCATATATGGCTTTCTTTAAAAAAAAAAAGACTCCTGGACATGAATTTATTCTTAGTGCTTTCAAAGTAAACACTATGCAGACAGAGATATCGCTGTGGCCCAGAAAGGCTCTTTTCATCCCATTATCTGTACCATAGATAGTCACTACCACTTCTTTGTGACCCCAATATGACTTTGTATTTATTAGGTAACTCTGGATAGACTAGCCCCTCATTAAGTCAATAATTTGTCTCCCTCATTAGACCAGTAACTCCTAGAAGTACAGGTCTGGGTCATAGCCACCTCTGAGAAGACTGGCAAAGGGCAATTGCAAAGAATGTGAACCTTGTAGAGGTCAAATTTCTAGTTTTTATCCATGCTGCTTTGTAGTCGTGTGAACGTACACAAGTTCCTAGGTTTTCTGAGGCCTTGGAATTAAAGTAATCTAATTCTGTTATGAAAATTAAAATTAAAATTTACATCATGTTATTTTATGCATAATGTTTTACTTATCCTTTGGAAAAAGCAAAAATTTTTCTATAAAAAGTCAATCACTTCTTTTAATCTTAGACATTCATGCAGTGTGTGGGCATCTGAGGAGTTTGATTATACCAGCGGCTATCTGCAGAGTGGCAACTTCTCAACAATGCTTGTGGTCATATTTCAAATATGCAAAAGTTTTTTTTTTTTTTTTTTGGTTTTTCGAGACAGGGTTTCTCTGTGGTTTTGGAGCCTGTCCTGGAACTAGCTCTTGTAGACCAGGCTGGTCTCGAATTCACAGAGATCCACCTGCCTCTGCCTCCCAAGTGCTGGGATTAAAGGCATGCGTCACCACCGCCCGGCTATGCAAAAGTTTTATGATAATAGCTTTATAGACTCTGTCAATTGCTGTAGGTAGACTGAGAAGCATTTGGAGATCACACAAGAATGAAGTCACAGTCAAATACACATCTATAAAAGATACAGGTTTGGGCCGGGCGGTGGTGGTGCACGCCTTTAATCCCAGCACTCGGGAGGCAAAGGTAGGCGGATCTCTGTGAGTTCGAGGCCAGCCTAGTCTACAAGAGCTAGTTCCAGGACAGGAACCAAAAGCTATGAAGAAACCCTGTCTCGAAAATCCAAAAAAAGAAAAAAGAAAAAAAAAAGATACAGGTTTGGAGAGGGGCTCCATTGATGCAAGTTATGTGCCACTCTGGGTTTGTGATGGTATCAGGCCCTTAAATGTGGAGAATTTTGTCTCTCTCCCATCAGAGGTGGGAGTCTAGTGAGAAGAGAGAGACAGGTCGCTCAATATCACGGTGCGATAAGTGTTCATGTGATAACATCACAAGGGGCAGTGAGAGCATAGATGCTGAACGAGGTGGATGTGCAGTGGGTACTCTCAAGAAGTCTCCAGTTCTATTTCAGCACGATGAAAACCGTGGGTGTGAATAACAAGAAACTGTCAGAAATGCATTCAGGGCCAGAGCTAGGGTGGATTTAACAACCCAGTCAGAACTTGGAGGCTTTCCTTGAAGAAAATAACCCTTGGATGGCGTTAAGCATTGTATAAATATAGTGAGCGTGGAAAAGAAGCAGAAGGAGGCAAAGACAGAAAGAGGAGGATGTGAAAATCCCCTGGGATATGAGGGGTGGGGCAGCAGTGAGCTGAAACACAGAGGGGGATGGATGCTCAATCACTGGCAACTTAAGAGGGTAAGAAAGAGGGGCTCACAGACAATGCTTAATATCTGAAGGATGACAGCTCTGATTTCTTCTAGCTTAGATACTGGATGAGAGGATGGGTCAATATCCAAACTAGGGTCCATGAGGGAAGGAGACCCTTTGGTTGGTGACTGGCCATGCTTCGTGTATCCATATCAAGAGTTGTCTGAAGTTATGGGCAAAGTCTTGGCTGGGGACAGATGTTAAGGTGTGATTCTTTATGGGGCCACCTCCTAAGAGGGTGTGGAAATCACTTGAGAACACCAGTTCATCCCCTCACATCCCCCTGCCACCAAGACTGTCCTCTGGTCCCTAAACAACTCCCCTTCCCTGCGTCTTGGTGATTTTGCTCTGGCCCTTCCTTGCCTCTATCCATCTGAAAAATATCCTTGACTGACTACCTCAAATCCCACCTCCTTTGCCTCTAAACAGAACAGTCTCTCCCTCAACTGTTCCCTAGTGCTCCTTACAGGTCCTCTGCAAACCAGACCCCCCACCCTTTGTGTGTGTACCTGGTACCTCTTCCAGGGTCTCACAAATAAACACGTTTCCCCACAGTTGATCCTAACATCCTAAGGACTTGTCAACCCAGTGCCTAGAGCTGCTGATTTAGCTACAGAGTGGTGGAATGGACCCTCTTCAGAGAGGTCTAGTGCTCATCAGGCCGAAAGCCTTCTTAGAGGCACGTGCACAGTTCGCCACAAACTGGCCTTTCTTAATCTCCATTTATAAACAGACTTGAAAAATGCCCGAGAAAATCAACACATTCCCTGTTTAGGAACTTAGCAGATTCCGTAAATGGCTTAGAAAGCCAAGCTTTTTATAAAATAGGGTGGTAAGGGCTAGGTAGATGGCTCAGTGCATAAGAAAACTTGTACAAACATGAAGACTTGAATTCAAATCCCCAACATCCATGTACAAATGTCATTTCTGGTTACATGTACCCATAATCCCAGAACATTTGGGTGGAGATGCATGGATCCGGGAACTGACAGGCTGGCCATCCTAGCCAAATCCGCTAGCTGTGGGTTCAGCGAGAGGCCCTGTCTCCAAGGAATAATGTGCCGGATAATAGCCCAGGAATCCCCATATCCTTTTCTGGCCTCTGTAGGTGTGTGCGTGGGTATACCAACCCACAAACACATGTAAACACACACATGCACAAAACCACAAAGAAAAGGTTAAGGGTACAAAGGGCTCATTTCACCCAGCATAATTTTAGTTGTTGACTCTGTGGTAAGTTAACAAATGGCTACAGTCAACCAAAATGCCATAGGAATACCAGGCACTAAACTCAATTCATAGCAATAGAGTTTTTCACAGTTATTTGTGTTCAGTCTATAGTGGCAAATCCTTAAGCCCCCACAATGAGCACAATACATATGTTTATTGCAAGATTTTCATAATATATTCTTATTATATTTTAAAACATATTTTAAAATAGTGAAAACAGCAGGATTCTAATTTGTTAGGTTCAGCCATCTATTAAAACACAAGGAGCCATTTTCATTTCACTCTGCTTCCTAAATCTGAATGCATTGTACCAGGCTGTCTCATGTTCCTGTTGCCATGACTTCCCACCATGATGGGCTATGCCCTGAGACTGTGAGCCAAAGTAAACTCTTCCTTAAGTTGTTTCTTTCAGGGTTTTGAATCACGGACATAGAAAAAGTAATTAGTACAGAGTTACCGGTAAACACTGGCTAAAGGGAGTGTGGTTTATTCTGCAAACCGCAGGGAAGCAACTGTGGAGAGCATGTGCTTCCAAAGGTCTCTGCGTATGCACCCATGTTTTCCTTTTTTCTTACCCTCACTTAGACACTGAATAGACACTTTGTGCAGGGCATCTAGTGGGTGTCAGGCATAATATCCCAGGACATTAGGTGCCTTGATCATTGTCCCTATACATTTGAAAAGCTGGAGTCTGTGGGAATGTTAGCAAAAGCAGTTTGGTAAACCATCTGAAGACCAATGGAGAAGCAAGGCTTCACTTATGTGGGATAAAGGAAATGTGACCCTGGATGAGCTACATCTAAAGAATGCCTGGAAGAGATCCACCATCAGAGGAGGAGGTGATGGAGAGACTCTTGGATTCTAAAATAACAACAGACAGGATGGTTGGTGGGGCAGCAGGCAAGGTTGATAAGAGAAGAGTTTGGAAGGTCATTTGGTCTTTGACCATTGTACCTTGCCATGCAGAAGTTCCCAACTCTATTTATATCATAACACACAGATGGTACAGAGGGTGGAGTGAAGGTGGAGGTGGAGCATCTCTGCTCAGTTTCATTAAGGCCTAGGAGATGAGCATCCCAGCACTCCAGCTACATGTGGGAGGCAGGATGTCTCCTCCTAACAGAGGAGTGGACATCAGAAAGAGTGGACTACTTGTTAGGGAGAAATTTGCCATGCATCTCCAAGATAAAAATCTCAGAGAGGTCTTGTTCAGTGAGGGGTGGAGGCCACAGAAAGAGAAGTAAGATTCTCCAGATGGCATTCACGGGCTTTTGTGAGAAAAGCACAATACATGAGAATTCTTACATCAATTTTGGATGTCTTGCAGAAAGCTCCCACGGGGTGCACGTGGTCATAGAGGATGATGACCCCCACCATCACCCTCATGCAGAACATGAGTGTCTCCTCGCTTGTAAACCTGCTCCTGTACTCCCTGAAAGAGAAGACATGGATGTGGCATCACTCCCTGGTTCAAACACGTGCATTCTGAGACCCACAACTGGCCATTCCTCTACCCGTCCACCCCCAACAGAACTCACCCAGGACCTGCAGCGACCAGGTTAATATGCTCTTTAAAAGACCCAAGACGACAATTTTCCTTGACTCTATCCAACTAGCAATTCCGAGCAAACTCTGGTAAATTAGAGGGCGGTAAATTCCCCTTTCTGCTTCCCTTTAGCAGCTAGCTCACCACGTACATCAACCCCTGCCCATCAATCTTGAATATTTTATAGCCGGCCCCTCTGGCTGTCCAAGATTATAGAGAATAATGGCTTCATTACAGGGAAAAGGAATCAGGCTCATTTCTACACAGCAGTGCTCATGTCTCCAGCTGGAGTCAGTTCCTTTGTTAAGACACAGGCTGTGGAAGAGTGTGGATTGGCAGATATCTCAAAGAAATTATGTACCTAGGAGTTATTTGTGGAGGTTAAATTTTGCTCACTTACTTTGACAGGGGCCCTGATGATTGCAATAATTTAGGCCAAAGCTAGAGACATTTTTAGCATCAATTTCATTATGAGTTGGCCCCACAATGCAGACAAATTACTATTTCTGTCTTGAAATAAATCTTAACTTTGGTATGAAGGAAAGATTTAAAATTAATATCCTTTTATGGGGCAGGAGAGATGGCTCCCTGGGTAAAGCACTTGCTGCATAAGGGAATGGAACTGAGTTGGCTCCCCAGTGCCCATTTGTATGCCAGGTGGTTGTGCTGGCTAGTCTCAGGTCAACTTGACAGAAGTTAGAATTGCTGGAGAAGTTAAAACCTCAATTGAAAAGATGCCTTCATAAGATCTGGCTACAAGCAAGCCCGAAGGGCGTTTTCATTAGATATTGATGGTGGAGGGACCCAGCCTATTGTGGGTGATGCCATCCTGGGTTTTATAAGAAAGCAGACTGAGCAAGTCATGAGGAGCAAGCCAGTAAGCAGCATCCCTCCATGGCCTCTGCATCAGGTCCTGCCTCCAGGATCCTGCCCTCGTTAACTTCCTGTCCTGATTTCCTTCAGTGAAGGACTACAGTGTGGAAGTATAAGCCCAGTAAACCCTTTCCTCTCCAACTTAGTTTTGGTCATGGTGTTTCTACACCAATAGTAACCCTAACACAGTTTCCCACCTGCAATCCCGGCTCTAGGGAGGCAGAGACAGGGCATGCCTGCAGCAAGCTGACTACCCAACTTAGTAATATCAGCCAAATTTGGGTTCACATGACAGACCCTGCCTCAATATACATGTCAGAGAGCAGTTAAGGAAGACACCCAAAGTCAATCTCTGCCTTACACACACACACACACACACACACACACACAGAGGCACACATGTGCGTATGCACACACACACACACACGTATATGCATCAGCAAGCACATGTGCATCCTCACATGCCATGCAAGTGAATACAAACACACACAAACACCACGCACATACACACATGCAAACATATATTTGAAGACAGTCAGCTGCTATAATAAGGTGCCTGTGATACTTCTGGGCTCCGGCACCCTATGGAGCAGATGGTATTATGGGAACTTGATTAGACACAGAATACAAGGAAGGTTCAGAGAGGCCGGAGTTCATTTGTAACCACAGTGAGCAGTGCAGACTAAGTGCATCCCCAACCTCCCCCTGTAACTGCGCCCTTCATCCTTCATGACCCTAACCATCCTTCACATTGAGTGTCTGGCAAACAGTTTAGGAACATGAAACAGAGGGTGAAGAGGGGGGTGGGGGAATTACTTTCGCAGCGGTCTCACCATTGCTACTCTTGGTTCTACATCTCTACAGTGTATCGATAATAACACTCACACATCTAGCCCATCTCACCATTTCACTGCATGGCTTATAGCAGTGATGCTCAACCTGTGGGTTGCCATCCCTCTCAGGGTCCTACAACCCCCTCACAGACAGCTTGCATATCAGATATTTACATCACAATTCATAACTATAACAAAACTACAGTTATAGAGTAGCAATGAGAATCCTTTTCTGGTTGGGGGTGTCATCACAACGTGAGGAAATGTATCAAAAAGGATCACCCACACTAGAAAGTTGAGAACCACTTTCTTAGAGCACGTGACAAGCTGCTAAAACTTTGCAAGGCCAATCAACCCACGGGTGAGTCAGCTACTTCAATTGGGAAACGGATCTGATGGATCTGCAATTGACACAGACCATCCTAAGCTCCCATTGAAGCCGAAGCAAACACTCCACAAGGGAAACTTTAATCTGGCATCTGGAAGAGGACACGCCGCTCTCAACACATCTGACCAGGCCCCAGCCTGGTGGAGACGTAGCCATGCCCACACCTCTGGTTTCACTTACGGTGTCTCCAGCATAACCTTGCAGACGCTTGTCATGGTACTGAGGCAGTCTGTGGTATTCTCTATTGGCAGGGTTTTATTCTGAGTGGAGAGACACAAACAGACATTAGTCATCCTAACAGTGTGCGTGCATGGTAAAGAAAGATCACTCTGGGCGGCTCCCTGGATGCACTTACTTCTGAGACAAAGTGCATTGTGGCATTGCTGAGAGTCTTCAGCATCGGTGTGGCTTCGGCATAGAAGAGGGACATTCGGTTGGCCATCTCATTATTCACTTCATTCTCAATGTCTAGCTGATGGAAGCAAGAGCAGCAACAGTTATAAAGAGAGAGCATCCTTATCTCCACAACCAAGTTATAGACAGGACTTGGCCTTCTTTCTGGGCCTGGCCAGACACACAAGTCAAAGCAGCCATGGGGAGATGGTGGCCCCAGCCAGAGACATGCAGGGACTCACATGCATGTTGTTGATGCGGTTGCGACTTATTGTTCTCCTGTAGTAACTAAAGTCATTCTGAATCGCTGGGTTCCTCATCTGAAATGTGGAAGAGAAGAAAGAAGGTCATCTTCCAGAAACAGGGGAGGGGTAGCATCAGGAGCCCAGACATGAGGGTTTGCAGATATGGCACAACTTCTCTTTGTCATTCAAGGACCAGGGCAACCAAAATATAAGGAGCTATCACTCCGGCATTCTGAAACATCTCCTGTTCTTACTGTGGGCTGTATTTCTGGAAAAGCATGTTTGCCTAGTGAGAAGAAGATACTTGTATGGGTTGTCTGTGCTCATTTGACAGATTCCAAATTTTCACAGGTAAGTCACCCTTGTAGATTACTCTGGCCACACAGAATGCCACACAGAATGTACCACGTTATAAACCTCCTGGGGGAGGTATTCTATCTTACTCTCCCACCCCAACCCTACAGCCTTCGCAAAAGAACCATAAAGCAGCACTACCCCATTCAACTCCCACAGTGCATGTGGCCTGACCTTCAGCTCATCAAATCGAAGGGTAAAATGTAAGATTTCTGCAAATTCCTTTGCCAGGGCCTGCTCCCGCTCCAGGTGCTGGGTTGGTGTGTAAGGAGGGCACGTCAGAGATTCCAGTAAACTCTGCAGGGCTTTTTCTGAAAGTCAAGGGGAGACAGAGGTCTATTCAGAGAGGCCAGACACATCCTTAAAAGCACAGTGCACAGTTCAAGTTGACACTCTCAGAGGCAACCTGTGTGGACGGTCCCTTTCGAGGGTTTCCCGAGCCCAGTTCACTTAGCAATCTCCTTTCTGAGCCTTATAGAAAACCACAATATATGAACAGAGCTTGTGTGCATGAGAGGCACTAACGATTTAAGGTGAGGTGAGAGCTGAGGAGAGGGCTCCAATCAGTAAGATGCTGTGCAAACCCAATTCATACCTATCGCATCCACAAAAATCCCCCAGGTGTAGGGGTACAGGTATGTAACACTAGCTTTGAAAATAGGCATGGGGACGGAGACAGAAGAGTCAAAGCTCCCTGGGGCTGGGTAGCTTAGCCAGTCCATGAGCAACAGAAGACACCAGTGTCAGTCTCTGGTCTCCACACACATATCCAAGAGCCCTGAACACATGGGTTAAGTCACCTGTTTAACATGGAAATTTTGGTCTTCTTCTAGCATGTTTCTCTCTTTCTACATCCCCATGACATTTCTCTACAAATCTACCATATTTACCCTTGTTATGTTCTTACAATAACCTCATCCCTCCCTCCCATTTGCCTATTTCTGATCATTCTCCACTCTTTTTGCTCCCATACATCTTGACAGCTAAGTCATTTAACCAGTCCTCAATGGCAGAAGTTGATAAACTATGACCTATAAGCCAAATTGGACCCACTGCTTTTTTATGAGTAAAGTTTTATTTAAAAGGTAGATATGTTCATCACTTTCTACACTGACTAGGGTTACCATTGTTGTTGCTACTATGATGGTAAAATCTCGTTACTGAAAAGACAAGACACACAAGATGCAAATCCTTTCTGTTTAGGTAAAACTCAGGTTCTTGGAATTTCAGCTCACTACATCCAAATGCCCTCTGAGGAAACAGAATCTTCAATTTATCTTCTACCTGAGAACCTGGGACAACCTTCTTTGTGAAATCAGTTTGAATCCCTCTCTTAGATGGTCGAACATCAAGTCCTTTTCAATACTAAGTTATGGGTATAGTTTTGGTTTTCCTCTTAAAATATAGCCCTCATTTTAGTGGCAAATTAAAGCAAAAGTTGCTGACTACTATTTCCATTCTAAATATACTGTATTAACAGATGAAACCCCAAGCACTGACAGTGATTACACCACACTGCTGGTGGCATGCAGCCAGTTTGTCAACCTCGCTTGCCTCCACGCCAGCTCTGCAGAGTCATCTTATTTCTGTGCAGTTTATTTTTGTTGTAAAGCTAAAGTAAGAATTCTAGCTTTATTTTCTTACATTTTGCATTCAGTTAATTATGGTATGGGCATGCAAGGAGACTGTGGATTCAAATGAACTCTATCCTCCAGTTTTGTTTTTATTAAGAACTGAGACCAATAGACCAGAGCCTAGATCAATTGTCATCAGAGAGGCTTCATCCAGCAACTGATGGGAGCAGATGCAGAGATCCTCAGTCAAGCATTAGGCAGAGATCATGAAACCCCATGGAAGAAGGGGTGGAAAGATTGTGGGAGACAGAGGGGCTGAGAACACCATAAGAACACAGCTCACAAAAATCAATTAAGCAGGGCTCATTGGAGCTCATAGAGACTGAAGCAACAATCACAGAACTTGTATGGGTCTGACCTAGATCTTCTGCATAGATGTGGTTATATAGCTTGGTGTTCTTGTGGGACTCCTGACAGTGGGAGTGGGGGTGTCTCTAGCCTTCTTTTGGGACTCCTTTCCTCCTATTGGGTTGCCTTGTCCAGCCTTAATAAGAGGATTTTTGCCTAGTCTTATTGTAACTTGTCATGCAGTGTTCAGTTGATATCCTTGGGAGGCCTGCTCTTTTCTGAAGGGAGACAGAGGAGTGGATCTGAGGAGGGAGAAAGGAAGGGAGGTGTTGTCAGAGGCTGTTAGTTCATTTCCTGACTGCCCTGATTTGAAATAACCATACAGAAACTATATTATTTGCAATACTGTTTGGCCAATAGCTTAAGCATATTTTTAGCTAGCTTTTATATCCTAAACTAACCCATCTCTATTAATCTGTATATTGCCACATGGCTGTGGCTTACTGAGTAAAGTTCTGGTGGAACCAACAAATTGGCACCAATGTGGTCAACTAAATCCACTTAAAAACTTGAGAGAGTTTGAAAATAAATTTTAGACACACACACAAAAAAAAATAGTTTAATGCAACTTCTTGCTCTATTTGCTGGTGGAAAGCAGAGACATAGTTCCATTAAGGTTTCCTGACTCAGCTTTAGCAGTAAACACTACACAGCTTCTTTTAAAATGGCAGCTTCCTGGTTCACTGGCAGGAATGACTCTGGCTCTTTCAGAAGGCCTAGCACTTGAATGGGGTTTGTGGGCAGCATGTTGCATTACTTGGTGGCAGCATGGGCCAATTGGTTACCAGAGTTGAGGTGGTGAGCATGGCTCCCACCTGGCAGTCTCAGAGGCAGTAAATGGATCTTGGCCATGTTGGACTGGGTAGAGCCAAAACACAAAGCAGCCTTAGTTCTAGACACTCTGCTGAGCATTTTAAGAAGCAGTTCTGGTCAGAAAAGGATTACAGATATGCAATAAAGAACAGATTCAGATGAAAAAGACCTCTAAATGGATCACAGCTTGGGAGAGAGAAGAAAAGAAGTATAGAGAGTTATAGAAGGAAGTAAATGGTTTTAAAAAAATAAAACAAAGTCTTTAAAGAGACAGAGTATAGACAGTAATAGATTTATAGAGGAAAGAAAAATAAGCTATGTAAAGATGAAATATACACAGAAAGCCTGGATTATGTATATTATTGTGTTTTCTTTTAATTTTTTGACTGTGAAGGAGATAAGTACAGAGAGACATTTCATTGTATAGGCTGCTAAGCTAAACCAACATATAAATTTTAAAGGTATCTAGACTTCAAAATTTGGGTCTAAGGATTTGTTGCTTTGGAAAAAGAGTTTCTACTTTCGTTTCCATAGAGGATGAGAACCTGTGGAGTCTTTCCAGACTAAGGTGGTTTGATTGATTAAGAACCCCCTAAAAGTCACTGTGAACATCCCCAAAAATTACTTCTTCCAAGAAAAAGCAGTAAGCAGTTTGAAGAGAACTATACCCAAAGTCTCTAAATAATTGTTTATAAATGTTTGTTTACATTTAAAGGGAGATATGATATAGAGATGGATACTTTGTATTGGTATGGATCTTGGTTTATTGATACAAATTTAAGGTCAATTTTGTTATATGTATATTTCTGCTCTTGATTAAGGTATTGGTTTATGTAGCTCATTTAAAAATGTAATATATAATTAAGAAACATAGGTTAAGAGATAGTCATCTATAATAATCAAGCTTATAATCATGTTAGTTGGGTTTTCTAGATGTACAAAGTTATATTTCAGATGGATAGTTATTCTTCAAAACTCTCAAAGACTAACAACAGAATATGGCATTTAAAATTTTAAGAACTTAGATTTTTCATGACAATGAGACACATCTGCTCTTGACAGCACCAATTATTTCAAGAGGAAGATGGGTATCGAAGAAGTTCCTCATGGAGCTTGTTAGCCATTTGGGCAAGAAACTGCTCTTGCCTGAACTGTTTGACTGGACTTGCAGGACCCACAGAAAAATGACTGCTGAAGCTGCCTAAAGAAGGTGAGATAGCCCTTCAGGGTTCCTGCTTCATGAAAGAGTCTGCCAGACATTCTGCAGGACACAGAAGAAAGTTACAACACAGAAGAAAGCCAATACAGGTAGAACTGTCTTTGAAATTTCCTACTTCATGAAAAGGTCTGCCAGACACTATGGGCCAAGTTATGATAAAAGATAGAGTAGATATAAATATTGTAACTATAATTCTTGCTTGATAATTGTTTTGGTATATTTAATCTTGCAATGTTAAAGTTAAAAGTTTCCTTTTACTTAGACAGAAAAGGGGAGGTTATGCGGGAGGTGATGTATGCCATGAATATGTATTATTGCCATTGGTTAATAAAGAAGCTCCTTTTGGCCAATGGCTTAACAGAGTAAAGCCAGGCTGAAAGAAATATATTAAGAAAGTAGGCCGAGTCAGAGAGATGCCATGTAGCCACCTGCAGAAGACAGATGCAACAGAACCTTGCTGGTAAGCCACACCACGTGGTAATACACAGATGAATAGAAATGGGTTAATTTAAGATATAAGAGCTAGCTAGAAAATACAGTTAAGCTATTGGCCAAACAGTATTGTAAATAATATAATTTCTGTGTGATTAGTTTCAGTCTGGGCAGCTGGGAAATTAATGAGCAGCCTCCCCCAACAAGGAGGGAGGGAGGGGAAACTGTGGTTGGGATCAATGTATGAGAAAGAGGAGTAAATACTAGAGTTGGGATGTAATGTATGGGAGAAGGATGGAGAGAGAGAGAAAAAAAAAACCAAGCCCAAGATCAGGGCTGGAATGATAGCTCAGCAATTAAGAGCATTGGCTGTTCTTACAGAGGACCAGCGTTTGGTCCTAGCACCCTCATGGTAGCTCACAACCATCTGCAGCTCCAGTTCCAAAGGCTCTGACACCCTCTTCTGGTCTCCAAAAGTTCTTCTAAATTCACATGGGCACACATGCACATACATAACAATAAAAAATAAATCTCAAAGAGATCAGTAGGCTTTGAAGAGCTGGACCCAGATAAACACGATGACAAAGTGTCAAGGGACCACGAGCCAATAGAGACTCTCCGTGTACCAATCAATGACTTTCAGAGAAGGATGCATGTGGCAGATCACAAGAAACAAGAGTGATGGAAGTTGCTTATGAATGGCTTCATAGTGTGCAAGTGGGGGACCTTTTCCAACATGTAGAGCTGCTCCCTCTACCCTCTCAAAAGGCAAAAAAATAACAATAATAATAGTAATAATAATAATAATGATAAAAGAAGTGCCATGTGGGACATGATAGCTGTAACAGTTACTCACCAAGGCGAATGGAAAATTCATAAAACCGTTTCAGTCTCACGACCAAGGGGCAGACTGCATTCCAAGCCTTTTCTTGAAGTTGAATATCATTGGGATTTTGAATTGCCTATGGGAGAAAAATGGGGTGATGGTGAGTTTCAAGTTTAAGAAGTAGTAAGCTCATACCAAAGTAAATGAATGATTGTAGGTTATTTTTAAAAAAATGCAATCTCTAGTGTGCTTTGAGAATTGGAACCACCTTGGTGGACAATGAGCATCTGGATGATTCCCCAAAGAACTCATTTCTGAAGGCAGTTTCTATACTTAAGCATGAAGCTTATGGGTCTCAGGTAGATCTTGTCTCATCTGACTTGCTGCTATGTTCTTTGGTTAAAAAAAAACGAAAACAAAAATAAAACAAACAAGTAAAGAAAACAAACATCGGAATTGGAAGACATAGCACTCTCAAGTAGCACTTGATTCATCTAAAGACTGTTTATTATGAAGAAAGGAGGCTGTAGCTATTGCGCCTTCTCTGTGATACACATTGTGTTCTTGCTGGTCTGTAATAAGCTCTATACTTAAGGTGACCTTGAAGTAGAAATGCTGCATCGTAATAGACTTTTCCTTTGTAGCATTCGGTATGTTCTTATGAGGACAGTGGCAGAGACAGGGTATGCAAATATGTGTGTGTGTGTGTGTGTGTGTGTGTGTGTGTGTGTGTTCGTGTGTTTCTAAATATAAAAACACAGCCTGCTCAGTCCATATAGTGTTATTCCTGACCAGTTGGTGTGCTCTTCCTTGAAGAAGACTATTTCTCCTATTCAGCATTCCTTAGGTTTTTGGCTACTGATTTGTATTACTTTTTTCTTTTAAACCTTGGAAAATATAAACAAACTAGATCTACACTCTCCTTAGAGCGGGTGTTCTCTAGCTGTTGTGTGTGATGCTGTTTTAACCTACCAAGGTAATCCCAAAAGTTCGATTGCACGTCACCCTAGATCTCATGACTCAGACATTCAACTTCTATTCCTGGGCTTTATGACAATATTGCCCTTAAATGAGGTCATCTACTGGCCTTACTGGTTAGACAGGAGTCCCACATTCTTCTACTGTGCACTCTGGTTAGGACCAAGGCTATGCCTTAATCATCGAATGTGCAAGCACTTGTGTGTGTATTGTGTGTGTGTGTGTACGTGCACACATATGTAGGCCTGCTCATGTGTATAAGGTTCCCCCCACCCCACAGGGTTTAGTCAGTTCATACTGTTTTTGACTTACATCTCGGATCTCTGGTCCCGCTCCTTTGTAAGCCTGCAGGTCCGTGAGGATGCTCTCGGAGTCCTGGAGGACAGCACTGATCTGGTTCCATATCTCTCGTTCTCCTTCTGTAGGCTGGGCATCTAAGTGACAGAGAAACCACGAGAAACTGAGACTAGAGTTTCTGAACAACTCTCAAAGTCCATAAACAGTCAGATCTACCAGCTAAGCAGTCCCTTCTCTTCCTCCAGCTTTGGAAGTCACTATGTAACTTTAGAAGCTGTTAGGTAAGGAAAATGAACACGGCTTCTGCCCATGACGCAATTCAAAGCATCCACCAACCACTTTTTTTGTACATATTAAACCTAGTATGAGCAAATTGTCCTGAGTGTTCATTTGCTAATTTATATAAAATGCATTTTTATATACCTTATGTTCACATTGGGTAATAGGAGGGGTAAACATGGTTTTAGGGAAGCCAAACTTCTTTTTAATGTCCCTTTCATTGTGTTTATTCTCCCTTAATAAATGTGCACACAACAGTTTCTCAGCAGAGACATGCTGGGAGATCATTGTCTAAAGGCCTGTTCTGTTTACCTTCAGTCTTGACTGTGGTACCCACAGAAGCAGGTGATGTGTTTAGGCCACATACATGAAGGCAACATTCTGATAGCCACAGGTGCCATCTAAGCTCTCCAGGCAGCTCTTCCTCTCTGACATCCCTGGAGACCTTACAGGTTCTTACCCCCAGAAGCATTTCATGGAGACCGATAGTTGAGAAACATGGGCTATCACTGCTCTCATAAGTGTTAAAACTCAGTCTAGTTTCTTCCTGTAAAATGATGCCACTGCTCAGGGAGAGAGGGACAAACAACATGCCACGTGACTTTGTTTCCAGGTATTTAAATCCCGAGATGAGGGATGCTGTCAGTGACTTAACTAACAGAGCGACAATGACAGAGTTGTATGAAGTCTGACACTCCCCTGACCCAACCCCAATTTTATTTAATCTTTTCACAGGACAAAGGGCAGATGCTGCAAACGTATGATGTGTTTTCATCACTAGTGGGAGTCTGGGGTGTCAGAGATGGATTCACAAGACAGGTAACGGGAGTGTTGGCTGGGTGCATTAGCAGCCTGGGCAACCAGGGAGAGTTGATGGCCAGAGGAGGCCAGAGAAGTTCCTGTCAAACTCAGGAATGATGCCCGTGGCAAGTTTGGGACTACTTTATTCACCAGGTCCTGTCAAAAACAAAGGAATTGGTAGCTTCCAAGGAAATTTTAAATAGTGAAAGAAAGAAAAGAAACAAAGCCCATAATTGTTTGGAAGAACAAGGGGGTTAACGGGGGTGGGAGAGGAATAAGAAAGGGTAATGGAGGTGAATATGCTCATAATATACTGTGTATATGTGTGATGCCGACAAATTAAGAAGAGAAGCAACACCTAAAAATAAGACAGAAAATTATAGACCCTCAATGGGCTTCCCAGATACTGGGAAAACATGTTTCCTAGAAATGATACAATGTTAACTGGGTATTAAGTGGGTCCGAGGTGCCTGCAGGTCAGGGTTAGGCAAGGAATGTGGTTTGGAAGGTGTTGGAGTTGTCAGGACTCGAGCATGGTAGCCGAGGTGGGAGAGAGAAGAAGGTATATCTACAGAGAGAGGGAACAGAGTGGCCTAGGGCCAGATGACTAGATGGCACACAGCTGGGCCTACAGGGGACCGAGATGTCGGGAGATCAGAGATGCTAACCCGGAAATGAAGGGGAAAGAACAGCTGATTCCTCCTCTATCCCCGAATTTTTTGCTTCCCACAAACATTGCGGAAATAGTATCAGGTCTGAGGTTTTTCACAATATGAATCACTTCATATGTTATCCCTTTCCGTTTCCTCAAAGCAATATGGATGTCATAAAAGGAAGCCTGCACATCCATGAGCTAGGAAGTCTGTCGCTGCGGAAAGCACTTTGGTGAAAATCCAAGGGAGGAGCCAGGAGTTTCTAAACTGCAATAGTGGCAAGGGAGGAAAACACAAGAAGAACAAAACAAAGCAAAGCAAAAAGCCTACAAAGCAAATAAAAACGAGGCACCCAGGAGCTGGAAAGAAGGCTCAGGGGTTAAGAGCACTGGCTGCTCTTCCAGAAGACCTGGGTTCAGTTCCCAGCACCCACAGAATGGCTAATTATCATCTAGTAACTCTAGTTCCAAGGGATCTGATGCCCTCCTCTGGTTCCTTAGGCACAAGGTACATACACAGCATACAGACAAACAAATAGTTAAAACACCCATACACAAGACATTAAAACAACACAACAAGAAACTAAAGAAAAAAAAAAAAGCACTCACTCAAATCCAGGAACACACTGTTTCTAAGGTAGAAAATTTTCAGATGAAGCATTTCGAGAAGACACAAGCAAAATGGAGAGTGTGCCCCATCTGAGGTTCAGAGTTCTACAACTGTTTGTGGAAGAGGGTTGTCCCGGGAGGCGAAGAGATGTGTCGCATCTCCTCTGCCACATGGTCTCATCTCAACAAGTCACTAAGGAACAGTGTCGTATGAAACAGAATTAAAACTGAGTGGCACCAAGCACAGACAAAGTCTAAAAAGCATCCTGTTGGCCACAAACCACAAAAGGAGAAAGCTTTCACGCCACTTCATAGGAAAGAGAGGAATTTCCTAAGTGCTTTCAAAAATAAACATCCTACAGAGCGGCCTCAAAGCGGTCCTCCAGCTCGAACAACCAGCTCCTGTCTCCATGGCAGGTGAAGTGACACTTTCCTCAATAAACTGGCAGGGACATTCTTTTGGCCACAAAGAGTTTGCATGAAACAGCTTAGGGGGTGGCATTTTTTCCAAGCTACAGGACGTGGACTTGGGGTGCAGGGTGAGCATTTTCTACTTGACAGAGCTGTTCTCCTAGCAGCTAGAGGATATAAACATGACCCTCAGGGTCCAGCCTCCTTCTCTGGGAGACTGTTTCCTTTGGCAGATGTTCTCCCCATTAGGGATGCTTGTAGCACAGTCCTGTTAGGGGTGCAGAAACCTAATCCGACACTTCCTCTCCCATCAAGGCTTAGAGGTGTGTTGGCTCATTTTCTGCCAGAATTTGCTACTCCACGGGACAGTCGATTTTCTCTCACCTTTCCTGTCACGGAATTGAAGTCAATTTCTCTTCCAGTCAACGGTTAGGTCCCTCATGCCAGCCCACAGGCCACCATGACTTCTGATCCGGAAGGTGGAATATTTCACAAGGGACTCAAACCACTGTCGGGTTGCCCAGCTTTCTCAGTGCAGGGACAGCTGAGAGACTCTAATCTCAGGACTGTTCAAACTTTTGACACTGTGGCATGCTGTTGTCACCTACAAAGGTATTGAGTCACACTTGTAGTTATCCCAGAATGTATATGGATCAGGCTGCATACTGGATGTGTCTTTCCTAGTGTCTGTCTCATTATGCAAGTGGTAAAAGGGCTGTGTAACCCCAAGTGACATTTACCATTGTCCCAAATCCATATGGAATCCAAAGATTCATTCCACTTACATCCCACAGTACTAAAAATTCAGAACTAATTAATAATAATTTTATCCACTAGACATAGGGCTCTGACCATATTTGTTTCATCTGATTACATATTTTCAGTGCCTGGTTAGTATATAGTATGTGCTCAAGGAAAATGTGTCAGACATATAGTTGAAGTAATGATTTATATATAATTTTCACATTTTAGATTTTTTTCTTTTGAGACAGGGTCTCACGTGTTTCAGGCTTGAACTCACTATATAATCTATTTTTTAAAAGATTTATTTATTTATTTATTATGTATACAACATTCCTTCCATGTATGCTTGCATGCCAGATCTCATTCTAGATGGCTGTGAGCCACCATGTGGTTGCTGAGAATTGAACTCAGGACCTCTGGAAGAGCAGTCAGTGCTCTTAACCTTTGAGCCATCTCTCCAGCCCTCACTATATAATCTATTGATTGTCTTGATCATCCTATTTCCACTTTTCAAGGGCTAGGAAGTCAGGTGTGTGCCACAGACCTGACTGTGCTAGGGATGGAATCCAGGGCTTCAGGAATGCGAGGCAAGCACTCTATGTACCGAGCTACATTGCCAGCCTCATTTGGGGATGCTTGTCTGAGTTCTGAGTTCTTTGGATACAGGGTTTACACACATATTCGGTACTCTTATGCTATCACATTTAATAGAGATACTCAATAAGGACATGGGAAACTGGATTCAGTTGGGACTCAGCCAGGAGATGGGATGTGGGTGCTAGGAGGCAGTGAAATCAACAACGCTTCCATCCCTGTCCTGTTGTGTGTCTGCCACTACGGCATCCATATTCAATGGTGACCAAACTGACTCTCGCTTCATCAACATGTGTGCTTAAATCTTCCACTGCCCAGGGTCTTATTATGGCTAGCAAGCTACTGGGACATTTGCTCTGTCTGGGAGACTAAAACGCTGCCAACGCCTTTTCCATCCCTGTCACTGACCTTGCCTTGCTTTCTGGGACAAACTCTGTGAAAGGATTTGGATTCTTTTCCAGCATTCCCGATATTCAGACCCACCTGCTAACCAGATTTAAAAAGTTTATTGAGTTTTCAGATGTCGAGAAATGACATCTTAAAAGGGACCCTGAAGAATTAGTGCTGGAAAAGGTTACTGTGTTTAATTCCCCAGTAACCTTGAGAGCATTGGCTAAGTGACCAGCAACTCTGAACTATGGTCTTTGCTTTTCTATTTTTAATAGGAAGCTTGACTTTTTATGAAGTGGTATATCACACACACACACACACACACACACATGCACACACATTTGTCACATTGGTGTACACATACACACATTCCAGATACACACACACATCTATACACATACACTTACACAATGCACACATTTATATATACACAAATACATACACACATGCATGCACACACATAAACACATATACACAATTACACGCATTCACACTACCACTCCTGATGGGAGTCCTTGGTTCTAGTCATACGTAGTCAATGACTTCTTCAGGGATCTTTCTTCTACGCCTCTCATCCTGACTGTCTAATCATCTTCAATTACTTGAGTGAATTGAGAGGAATGGCTACATGCAGTGAGTGCTCATCCTGTCTGACGA